ACTCGAGCCCGATGACCGAACTTCCCTAATCGCAAAAAGAGCAAAGCTTCGAGTTGGGGAAGTTGAAATTAGGGTTTTTATAATAAATTTTCTTTAATGGATGGAAAAATGTAATAGAGGAACTATATTGAAATAAAATAGTAGGTGAGGTCTGAAGATGAAATGTTTTAAAGATATTGTATAGAGTTATAATAGACCTAAAACCTGATGGGGTATTATGTAATTTACCCTTTATTTTAAGATGAGTGTTATAAATTGTAATTTGAAATAGATGGTTTTGCTTTTGGATGATGTGAAGTCTCCATACTGAATTGAGAACGTCCCTATTGGTTGTTTGTTGTTCGCTGTTGCAAATTGCAAATTATGTACAGTAAAGTCAGCATCAACAAACAAGCCGTCATGAAATTGTTAATCAATTAATCAATGAGTGCCCCTAGTAGTGCAGAAGTACCATACATTGTGTACATAGAGAGTGTTGAACAACAAAAATATACAACATAAAAAAATAGAGTTCATACAAATTGGATCAGACTACAAGGCAAAATAAAGATGTAAACCAGCCCAAAAAGTTAAGAATGGGCTTTACATGCAAACTAAATATCCATAAACAAATAAAAAAAATATAAATAAGTAAAATAAGGAAAATTTCCTACAAAAGGGGGAAGTAATAAACAGGTTCCCCCCTTTCCTGCAACAAAAAAAAAACGTGGGGTCAGTTAAGAGAGGTTAAGAGAGAGTGGCAGGAAGTCATGCCCTCCATCTTTCCCCCCACGTAACAAGCTCTAGAACTCTCCTATGATGCCTATAAATAAGCATCAGCTGCAACAAAAAAAGGGAGTCAGAAAAAAGAGAGGGGATACTCTGCAGAAAAAATAGAGAAACATTGAGAGAAAATACTCAAAGCATCAAGGTGTTGCCAGGAAAGAGAGCATGCTATTCAACCATTTTGTGCTTTTGAATCAAGATCTAAAAGAAGAACATTCATCACCAGGTATGAAGCAAGTTCTGTTAAAATTATTTTTTTTCTCTTGTTTGATGTTATGTTGTAGGAAGAACAAAAAAGCATTGCGGCAGCAAACACAAAAATAAAAAGCTGCAGACAAACAAAAAATGAATGAGGAAAGGGAAATAAGCAAAGGCATATAAGACCTTTACCTCTTTGTTTGGCGTTCTTCACCAATTAAATGGAGTTGGAGACTAAATATCCACTGACTCCCCCAGCTGCAGCAGAGATAATCTCCAAGAATCCCATGAATTTCTTCGGGGTGGCCTAGACCACCCCGTGAAATTTTAACCAAGTTTAAATGGTCTACCCCTTCGCCAAATTGTCAAGTGCAGTTTCAAAGTTCTAAGCTTAAGTTCCCGAGAAATAAGACAGCAAGGAGGCAACATATACAAAGATGCAACTCAAGAAAGAGAAAAGAAATTATTCTATTTGGTGTTTTTGCTACGCACGGGTACAAAACATGGAGGATGCTTTTGGCTAAAAATTATATGAAAACTTATTGGGGATAGAGTCCAAGAAAAAGGAGAAAATGGAAAAGATTGTTTGCAAAGGAAAAAAACTTCCCCTGACCGACACATGCTTGGAAATTCCCCAATTCAAGAAGAAAAGTAGGAAAATATGCTCTAAAGAGAGTGACTAAATGAAGAAAAGTTTTCTGTAAAAGCTAAAGAAGCTGGTTATCATGTTTGGAAAAGCTAAAGAGAGTAAGTGCATGTGTTGACAAATAAACAAAGGAAAAGAAATAAAAAATTTTGATGATGACAAAAGAAAAGTCCCAACACAACTTTGATAAAGACAAAGAAGGAAGGAGACGTGAAGAAGGTTCAAAGCCTTGAAATGCTACAATTGTGTCAAAGTTTTGATTAAACATTGTGTCAAAGCTTTGACCAAAGAAAGACATTGAAATGCTACAAGACAAGGAAAGAAAGGGCAAATTTCCCAATCTTTAAATGGTCAAGCAACCTTCTTTGCCACGTGAAGATGGGATAAAAACTTTCATTGTGTCAAAAAGTTTCACTTGCTTCTCTGCCATGTGAATGTTAAAAAAAAAAAAAAGAGTTTAAAGCTTGATGTCAAAACTTCCCAAAATTAATTGGGAAACTCATTCAAGGCAACCTATGTATCAACACCCAAAGACCTAATATGCAAATCAGTTTACACAAGTACAAACAAGCAGGACAAAATTATCATGAGCATGGTTGTTTGTAAAGCCACTCGCCAGATATACAAATGGAAAAGTATAATTCTATTCCAATTAAACATAGAAGGCAGCACACAAATACAGCAAATATTATGAGGGTGCCCTACAAATTTTAGAGTGCAATCCTCACCTTTGGAGCCATGAATCAACACTTGTTTTCAAAGTACTGCAAAATAGTATGTCCAACAACCAAATAGAAGAGTGGTCGTTGCCTGGGATGCCTGCATGAGATAATTGATAATTTCATTGCAGTTAGAGTTTCATATAACTCCAAATACATAAGCAAACCCAGAACATAGAAAACGAAAACGGGATGACTTACCTGATCTCCACCCCTCTTCGTTTTGAGCTTTCGATCCACAAAAAGAAACACAAGCAAAGGGGTAAGAGCAAGAATGCAAGGCAGCAGAAAAAAATGAAAGCTTTTTGTGACCTGCGAAAAAATGGGTTTGCGATTTGAGGGGGAAATAATGGAAAATCGAAGTAATTTGAACAAAGAATCTAAACTACAACAAACCTTACCCATTCTCACTTTGAAATCCACGAATACCCAATCCAAATAGAAGTTTGAATTATGACGAAATCCACGGAACCCAAGTATATCGGGATTGCTAACCGTTTCGGGACAGAGACCACCGAGTCTGGGAGCTAAGTAAAGGATGGATCTCTAAGGCATTTCACGGGGTATGAATGAAGTCCACCTCACGCGAGGGTGTTCTCACATGGAGAAGAAGAGAGTTTGTTGAAACAGAGTCCTATTTGGACTTAGAAAGTCTTAAAGTTACATAAAGAAAATAATAATGCAACTTGCTGTCAGATTGGAAAGACACTTGGGTCAAATGATTCAAAGCCCCATGATAAATAGAAGAATAGGAAATACAACAAGAGGACAAGGCCCCATCAAGTTCCACATAAAAGAAAATAAAAGGGTGGATATGACGTGGTCTTAAAAAACATCCCAGATTGTCATACTCAAATTAATGGGTCATTTACATTACCTATTAAATATTCAAATCCAATCCAAATAGCTTCTCATTTTCCCAAAGGTCTGAACACAAGTTCAAATCAAGTTACGAACTACGCTGGTTTGATTCCGTTAAGGATACGTAGGCAGTTTGATATCAATTTTCAGACACAACGATGAAATCAAATAACGAACTACGCCGGTTTGATTCCGTTAAGGATACGTAGGCAGTCTGATATCAAGTTATAGACACAACCGTGAAACCGAAACGAATCCCTGGTTTATATAAACTAAATTCACTCCTACTATCAAATACCAAAATGGCACGAAGCCGAAGAAGAGTTTCAAAGTGGCACGAAGCCGAAGAAAAATCTCAAATGGCATGAAGCCACATCAAATTTTCAAATGCTCATCGCCCGCATGAGCTGAAACTGCATAAGGCACTATGCTCCTCGCCTGCATAAGCTAAAACTGCACAAGGCATCAAATCCAAATAAGTACCAAATCCATGAACTACGAGTGACTTGATCCCTCAAGAGGGTACGTAGGCAATCTAGGATTCGACCTAGATGCAGTTACAAAATCAAACAAGCACCAAAATCCTCAAGTTACATTTTATTCGAAATGGAATCAAAGGGTATTTCTTTCCCAAAAGGAAGGTTGTAATTAATAGGTGCGTAGCCTAGAATGGGTCGAACTCGAATTAATAAAACCCTCTTCGGAAAAATGAACGAGGGTGAAATTGTGTTGAGTAAATTATTTGTTTACATATTATGTACAATTTTTGCTCAACAGAGAGATTGAAATAGATACTATTTGTGGAAAAGAAGAAAGCCATGATATGATGCCTAGTGCCATCGTCTTGGACTTAAATAGTGTACAAGAAATACGTCCAGCTCTCTAATAGGTGTTTGTGAAAGATAGGACAATCATAATCCTTTAAATCTTTGGGCATTGTATAAATTTGAAAATCTCTAAAATGAAGAATATAGTGGAGGATGTTTTAGGTGTTTCTTGGTTTCTCGATAAATGTTAAATATTTGGGTTGCTCGTTGATTTTATGTAATACTACTTGTATAAGTCATGTAATTTGTTGTTTCCCTTACTTGATATTCAAGTTGTTGAAACCTTCTTATGGTGGGCTGGCCCATAGCCTGTCAAACAAGTTTAACAGGCCAGGACAGCTCAATTAACAAAAATTTTCCACGGGTTCGGATCTTTGCGGAGATTACTCCCTAACTAGAAAATGTGCCCGTGCTTCACTGCAGGAATAATGTATTAGTCGGAACATGCATAAATAGTTTCTACACAAAGTAACTAAAATGACGGTACAATACCTAAGAACCAATGAGGTGATACTTTGCTTGCTATATATGGATATGCATGCTATAAGAAACAACTAATTTGCTTTGTCATCACATTATAGTAATCAGCCCACTCCATGCGTGAAAAACACAGAAAAAAAGCAAACAGAAAAGTAGAAGACACAATACTTGAGCATTTGGCAAGAATAGCAAGCTTGTGAAAAAATTGCTAAACCTCTTACAAATTCAATCGCCAAACGTTATACTATAACCCAAGACAAAGACAAAGCATATAGTTTGTTTACAAATCAAAACGAACCGTTGCATAATGTGCGATTGAAAAAAATGCTTCTTAATTCGGTCTTGCAAGAAATGAATGCAGTTTGAAAACAACCCAGAAAACACCCCATAAATCTTTACCACCCCAATCTTACTAAATAGAAGCATAAATGGACAATCGAGAACTTCATCAAATAAACAACAATAAAATCTAATGTAATCTGTCAAAAACCAAAATAAAAAATAAAATGAATGTGATCATTTGAAGGCACCGTAACGGCTTCACCATCATACACTTGCAGCATGTAATTGATGCATATGTTGTTCAATGAAATCATTCACTAATAGCCAGTCAAGTTTTGGTACGAAGAAAGCAGAATATGAACACTAAGTAAGATCATAGCATTAAGTTTTCTCTATTAAATTTGGAAATATATGTAGACGTGTATGCATTTATGAATGTACGTATCAGACAGGTTGTCCAGCGCAAGCAAAGGCAGTGCCACCACAGGCTGCAGATACAAAAACGACCCTCAAATCTGATATTAATCTACAATATGCAACCAGTAGATGAGTTCAAATCAGCATTTTTTGTTAAGAGAAGACCAATGAACTTAACAAAACTGTAATGAGCCCGTAAGTTTACCTCAAATCTAGTTGCATCACTGGATATTTTGATTTAAAATTTGAGATTATGAAGACATTGTCCTAAAAATATTTAAAAACAAAGTTACATTTAGGACCGTTAAGATAAATAACCGGAGTAATTATATTTTCCATGAAGCAATCTTACCTTGCAATCAATCAGTGTTGGTGTATCTTCTCCTCTATTATCATTATCCAGATTGAAAACATCATGTAGTTGAAAAGACCTATTTATACTAAAACAGAGTTAGTGAGAAGAGGCCATAATGGCTAGATTCAATTGACAAAGAATATATGAAAAACTGTACTGAATTTAAGTTAGAAGCATGTACTTTTCTTCCTTCACATTTGAGACCGAATCAAGTATGCATCAAAACATTAGATTGCACTGTATTTGCGCTAGCAACCCACGAATTAAGATAAGAAATGGTTCAATGTAAAGGTTTCAAATTCCTTGAATAAAACCAAATCAGATCTTAAGAAATGGTTGAATGCTAGATAAATTTGCTTAGTATTCACCTGCTGGCCAGCAACGCTGTTATTGAAACTTCCAGGATCAGTATAGTAGCTGCAAGTAAAAGCAAGCAAAGGAACCAATAAATTTAATTCAAGACTAAAAACATGAATTAAAAAAAGCTAACAATAACAACTGCATTTAACAATTTAAGCATGATCTAATGGATTTTAAAGAACGAAATTTCACCACAACCAACTTTTCTTAACAAATTCTAGAAAAGAGTACATAATCACCACAACCAACTTTTCTTAACAAATTCTAGAAAAGAGTACATAATCGCCCGGGGGGGGTGATCTGCAGTAAACATCAGAAAGAGCATTCACTTTGTTCCTACCAATCTGAACGTCACTGGGTACTTTTTCTCTGCTTTATATAGTCGAAAAAAAGATTATAGTTCTTTCAATTGGGGAGGCAGACAGAGAAATAATAGAGAGGAGAGAAACAGAAGAACGGTTAAGAAGTTCAAAGAGAAAATGGCAAATGCTGTGGAGGAATTGGTTGTGCAACTAGAAAGTGGAATAGAGCTCTCGAACATGGAATTTGGAGTGAAACTCATAGCAAAGGTTATGGTGGATCAACAGCTTAACAAATGGGGTGTGAGAAACATTTTGAAGAGTGCGTGGAAAGAGTTTGGGGAGATTCAAATTAACTGGGTGCAAGACAACCTGTATGTGATCCTGGTTCGAGACGAGAATATTGCAACACATTTACTGGAACAGGTGCCTTGGGGGGTGATGAAACAAAACCTCTCTGTGAAAAGGTGGACGGAAGATCTTGGAATGGAAGAAATGCCGATGCACATGGTGCCCTTCTAGGTGCAGATGAAAGGTATCCCTTCGTGTTTGTGCTCTGAGGGTAATTTAAACTGCCTGGCAAATAAATGTGGGGATTTACTAGAGGTTGAGGATATCACCAAAGCTAGGGGTTTCCTTCGAATCCGAATTATGGTGGATACCACGAAACCTCTAGTAACGGGGTGTTGGGTTACCAGGGCAGGAAACAAGGAATCCTGGGTTGAATTTCAGTACGAGCGGTTGTAGGATTTCTGCTATAATTATGGTATCATTGATCATCCTAGTATTGAATGCTCTGTACCAACAAGGAGGGGAGAAGGGGCAGGATAAGGGGAGTGGACTAGAACGAAAATGATCAGGGATTTTCCAGAGGCTCCAAGGGTGATTAATACGGCTCAAGGCAGGAGAAGGCATGCGGGAGTCAGCAGGGCGAGAGGGACTTCAAGTCAACGAGAGGGGGGAAATAATAATGGGGAAGAAGATGGCAGTGAGACAGTCAATAAAGGAAGTGTGGGACGTATTGGGGTTGTGAATACGCTGATTACCCAAGTTAGCTCACGAGAGACAGCTAATCCAACTATGGGCGCTACGAATATGGTCACTGATCATGCTCACGGCTCTATGGAAGGGATGAATGGGCATAACACTATTGGGTTGCCTATAATAAGTATGGGTGTAATGGAGGAATGAGGGCAATCAGGAAGGGCTCTTGGTACTCGTCGGGTGAATATCAGAAGAAGGCAGGTTGAGGCAGAGGCGAAGAGGAGGGTGAAGGGGGTAGAGAGCAACTCACAATATCCCACAGGGATGGTAGATCACGGAAGTCAGTATGGTCAAATTGAGTAGCTGATGAACCAGAATTTGCTAGAAGGAATGCAACCGAATAACTCTGTTCTAGGCCATCTGGAGGACATAAGCATTTTTCAACGAATGGGCCTAAAGAGGAATGCTGGGGAAAGAAGTAGCAAAAGAACCTCAAGACTGACAAAAAGAGCAAAAGGACAAGCTGCTTCAAGGGGACGAGCTAGGAAATGTGGGCATACAGGATATGTATCTGGACATAGTGAGACGAATGAAGCCTATGAGGAAAATCTACTGGAGGTTCCAGTGTCAGAGGAGAATTTATGGCCTTATCTGGAGGACATTGTGGATGAGGAGGAAACTATGCGGAGTCAGCGATTAAGAAGTAATCAAAGTGGCAGTGGCGGCTGGCCCGATACAGCGGCAAGTTAACCATGATAAACTTGATTTGGAACTGCCGTGGTCTTGGGTCGGACACGGTAGTTCGAGCCCTACATGGGCTTATTCGAAAATATAGACCCTCTGTGGTATTTTTAATGGAGACTAAGATGCAAAACCACAGAATAGTGGGAGTTCGTAGGAGGATGGGTTTTGTGAATGGGTGGGATGTTCTTCCGGTTGGATCAGCGGGTGGTCTGAGCTTGTGGTGGGATGACAGTTTGGAGGTCAATGTTATATCATCCAACAGGAACTTGATCCATACTGAGATGCGACTTTTTTAGGATGAGTGGTTTAATGCTTCATGGGTTTATGGCACTCCATATAGAAATAAGAAAATTAATTTTTGGCAGTGGATTGCGGAGGAGCTGAGCCCGACGCGTGCCCCTTGGTTTTGTGCGGGCGACTTTAATGAGATATTATCTGAAGATGAAAAATCGGGAGGGAGTCCTTGGCATCGGTCGACTATTCCATTTTTACAGTCTTTCTTAAATAGTATGGAATTGGTGGACCTTGGATTCTCAGGGCCAAAATTTACTTGGAGAGGAACCAGAAATGGCAGCTTGGTGCAGGAAAGGTTAGACAGGGGTTTAATTAACGGAAGCTGGCAGACTCGGTGATTATTCATGAAAATGTTAGGGCTTCCGATCACTGCCTGCTGATATTAAATACTGACCCGCTGGTCCCCAAGTGTAAACTTATGTTCAGATTTGAGGCTTTTTGGTGCAAAGATGAGGGATGCAGGGAGACCATAACATGATGCTGGAATGTGGGAAGTGCTGGTGAAGGGGTCGCTACGTGGCAATGGAAGATTAACGCCACTAGAAGAGGATTGATTAGCTGGAGTTCGAGCAAGTTCAAAGCCAAAAAGCTTGAGTTCCAACGGTTGAACTCTCATTTGGGGAATCTGCAACGGCAATGGGAGGAAAATAAGGAAGAAATCAGTGAGGTTACTGCAATTATTAATCGGCTTGAGGCACAAGAGGAATCATACTGGGCGGCAAGATCTCGCATTCGGTGGTTGCAGCTGGCGACTCAAACACTGCTTTTTTTCACCAATCTACAATCCAAAGGCGTAGACGAAACAAATTAGCCTGAATCAGGAATAAGGAGGGTGGTTGGCAGGAAGATCCGGCTAGAGTCAGACTAACGGTGGAAGATCATTTTCAAAGACTTTTTACGTCGAATGGCAATCGAGATTGGAGGGATATTCTCTACTGCTTGGATCCAATTGTAACAAATGATATGAATGAGACTTTATGTAGCCCAATCTCTGATGAGGAGATTAAAGATGCTGTGTTTAATATGGGAGGATTGAAGGCACCTGGACCTGATGGGTTTCAAGGTCTGTTTTTTCAATCATACTGAGACATTATTGCAACTGAGGTACATGGCATTGTTACTGACTGTCTTAGGGGTGATGGCTGCCCTTCTGTTATCAACTTTACTAATATTGCTTTGATCCCAAAGGTTCCAAACCCGGAAGGGGTAAATTAGTTTAGGTCTATAAGCCTTTGTAATTATTCTTATAAGGTTCTATCTAAGATTTTGGCGAATAAGTTGAAGCCCTTGTTGGATCAAATTATTTCTCTGAATCAAAATGCGTTCATCAAAGGAAGACAAATTCAAGAGAATATTATCTTGGCTTATGAAATTTTTCATTTCCTTAAGATGAGAAGAACAAAGACAAAATTCGAAATGGGGATTAAGCTGAATATGAATAAGGTTTATGATCGGGTTGAATGGGACTTTCTGGAGGCAGTTATGGTGCATCTCGGTTTCCAACAAATATGGATTGCCATGGTTATGAAGTGTGTTAAAACTGTGGAATTTTCTATTTTAATCAATGGGAGGCCGGGGCGAACCTTTAAACCTACAAGGGGACTTCGACAGGGGGATCCCCTATCACCCTACCTGTTCCTTATTATCAGTGAGGTTCTTTCGCTGTTAATCAGTAGGGCGGTTCAGCAGGGGTATTTGGAGGGCATTAAATTATCTACTTCGGGGCCTATGCTCTCTCACTTATTGTTTACTGATGACACTCTAATTTTTCTGGTGGCTACCAACCAGAATTGTAGGAATCTTTCTTCCCTTCTTAATGCTTATTGCAGAGCGTCCGGGCAACAAATTAGCCTTCAGAAATCGGTGGTTTATTTTGGGGTGAATACTCCTGCCCATTTATCTTCGGAGCTTTGTAATATCTTAGATATGCCCAAGGTGGAAGACCCAGGAAAATATCTGGGTTTACCATCAATTTGGGGGAGGTCAAAGAAAGAGGCTTTACAGTTTATTAAGGAGAGGATCTTGACGAAGATTGCGGGCTGGAAACGACGTTTTCTATCTCAAGCGGGAAAGGAAGTTCTCATAAAAGCAGTTATCCAAACTATTCCTATGTACACAATGTGTGTGTTTCGATTGCCCATGAGTTTTTGCAAGGATATTGATGCGGCTGTGGCGAGGTTTTGGTGGGCAGGAGCGGATCGGGATCGTGGAGTACATTGGGTTAAATGGAATGACTTGAGTCGGCCAAAAAAGGAAGGGGGTTTGGGCTTCTGTAATCTCAATGATTTTAATATTGCCCTTCTAGCCAAACAATGTTGGCGATTGATTCATGACCTGGACTCTTTATGGGCTCGTGTTTTGAAAGCTCGATACTTCCCGAATTCTTCCTTCTTGGAGGCTAAGAAGGGTGGGAGGGCCTTTTGGGCTTGGGCGAGTTTATTGGATGGGAGGGATCTTATTCTAAGGGATGCTAGATGGCAGATTATGGGAGGGATGAAGGTTTGGTTTTGGCAAGATAATTGGATCCCGGGAATAACGGGGGGGGGGGGGGCACCCTACTCCTTTTAATCCTTCGGTCATCAATAGGAAGTGCAAAGTTGCGGAGTTCATTGATCCAAGTTCGAGGACTTGGAACTTGGACCTTCTCTCAAACTTTATCTCGGATTCAGAGAGCGATACC